TTGAAGCGATTTCATATATGAATAGATTCATATTTTGTTCACCCGTTAATTTTGATTGTACCATGGATTGGAATACAATATTGTTAATGTATTATTTTGTGCTACGTGTTATACATGCATATATTCTCTTTTTAGATTTCTAGAATGACGATTGAATAAACTTCCGGAGTAAATATAAATTTATTTGGAGACCATTTATTCATTTGATTGAACAAGAAGGGCTACAAATTGGGGGCTCGTCCGGGAAGCTACCAATCGTCAATTGTGATTAGTGGAATTCTGGAAAATAGAGCCAGTGTACGAGGATGCCAGATTATCAAACTTATGGGATAGAATGGTGCGAGGAAGAAAAATATCCTGTGGAGCGGAGCGTATTGATGGTAAGCAGGAAGACCAAAATAGATACCGCAAGGATATATAAGTGTTTATGTGGTGCTCTTCCAGTCGAAAAAATAGAAAGAAGAGAAGAAGTTGATGTTCATGGTTGGCAGAAGACAATTGTGCTGGCGAAGTTATCAGTGCCGGTCGCTGATTTGAATGTCTCCGCCAAAATACTTGTAGCCGACGATGAAGAAGATGTTGAATTAAAGACAATCATTCTAAAGAAGACGCCTACGCCTAAGCCAGTCACACCTAAACCAGCAGAAACAGAAAGTGCAGCAACAACCAGCATCACCTCAGTAGATCTCTCAAAGTTATCTTTGGGCAACAACTATCGAAAACTGCGTGTGTTTTCTGGCAGTGCAGACAAGTCTAAAGATGAGGATGCATACCACGTCTGGAGGGCCCAAGAAAAGCTTTGATAGAGGAGTCTGATGTTCCTCAGTCAGAGAAAAAGAGGAGGATACGGGAAGCTCTGAGGTCACCTGCGTTAGACGTGATCGATGATCTCAAGAGGGAAAAACCATCAGCAACTGCCAACGACTACTTAGAAGCATTAGAGGTAGTCTTTGGCACAACACTCTCAGGTGAAGAACTATTTCACCAGTTTATTGGTTTAGATCAGCAGTCAGGTGAAAAACCATCGGAATATCTTTCAAGACTGCAGACATCTTTACGGCAAGTTGTGCGAAAGGGAGGTGTCAAAGCCGAAAGCGCCAACCAGGCTCTTTTAAAACAATTCCTGAAAGGCACATTATTCGACCAACTCCTTCTTGTCGATCTTCACCTGCGAGATCAGATAAGTAACCTACCAACCTACTTGACGTTATTAGGCAAAGTGCGCCGATGGGAGGAGGAATCCTCTGGAAAAAATAAGAAGGCAAAGGCCATTGGAGCCCGAAATGCGCATGTGGCCAAGATAGAAGCTGCAAAAGAGGAGGGAATCGCAGAGAGGCTAAGCCGGCTGGAAAAAATATTGTTGAAATCCCCAATGGTACACAGTTACCAACAATCAGCACCACAACATCAAAATAGGTCTACTCGATCGTACTTTTGTTACAAGTGCGGGGAAGAAGGACACATGAGAAGAGGCTGCCGTAATGCGCCGAATCCGGAGTTGGTAAACCAGAAACTTATAGCAATGAACCAGCAGGGAAACGACCGAAGGCACCTGAGGAGGAGCAATCAGATGCCAGAAGACAGCCATTAGCTCCGACTTCTTGTGATATTCCACCTGGTTTGGTTGGAGAGAGCATTGTTGCCGAATGCTATATTAATGGAATACGTCACCCGTGCTTACTTGACAGTGGATCACAAGTTACTGTGATTAGTGAAACCATCTTCAACACTTTAAAGAGAAAACTTAACCCTCTCTCTGATTTAGTACTATGGCATGGTGGTGGAGGCGTCATTCCATACCTCGGCTGGACCGAGATTAGATTAGGCTTTAATAAATCATTTGCTGGTACCCAGCACCAATTTTCAACATTAACTTTAGTTATTAAGGACAATCCACAGGCGCAGCACCAGGTCATCATTGGTACCAATACTGGTCTATTCAACAATCTTCGAAGCCAATGTAAGAAAGATGCTGGCAATCTTTACTTGAAGAAGCTCCCAATTCATCCATGGTGCGCCACACTGTATCGACAGGCCGAGAAGGAGGTGCGGTTGGGCAAAGAAGGAAAACTTGGGATAGTTAGAAACAAAATTGCTGTTACCATTCCTGCTGGCGCAACCAAGCGACTTCAAGGAACTTTAAGAAACCGGCTTCGTGCTCCGAAAGTAGTAGTGATAGATGCGCTCAAAAGAGGACATCGTCGAGGTCTGTTACCATTATCATGCGTAACCGAGATTGCAAGCACTTCGACTACAAAAGTTAATATTGACGTTACCAACTCAACCAATTCTGACATTTTTATTGCTAAAGGTGCTCCGCTGGCGGAAGCTACCCTTCCTGACTTCATTTCTTTAAATTCTTTAGTAGACGTAGATAACCATATTGATGCTACTTGTGGTGTGACTGCAGTGTCAGTTAGTCCAACGGATAAATCTGTACTTGACTTGCCGTTCAAGTGGGGATCTGACGTACCACCGGAAATAAAAGAAAGCATCTTGGCAAAGTTTCAACATAGATCCAATGTATTTGCTAAGCATGAGTGGGACCTAGGACTCACCAAGCATGCGGAACACCAGATTAACCTCACTGATGACAGTCCTTTCCGTGAACGCACACGCAGAGTGTCGCCAAGTGATCTTCAAGATCTGCAAAAACACATCCAAGAACTACTGGATAAGAACGGAAGCCTCCGTATGTGTGTTGACTATCGAATTCTAAACTCAAGAACTTTACCCGATCAGTACACCGTACCATTAATTCAAGATGCTGTGGACTACTTAAGCGGATCTAGTTGGTTTTCTGTAATTGATTTAAAATCCGGATTTTACCAGATACCTATGAAACAAGAAGACAAAGAGCGTACCGCCTTTACTTGCCCGGTAGGATTCTATGAATTCGAACGGATGCCGCAAGGTATTAAGGGCGCACCAGCTACATTCCAAAGATTGATGGAAACATGTATGTCTGGGTTGAATTATTTGGAAGTTCTTGTATACATGGACGATTTGATCGTATTTGCTAAAACTCCCGAAGAAATGGAAGTACGTCTTATCAAGGTACTTGACCGTCTTAATGAATATGGGTTGAAAGTTTCGCCGGAGAAATGCCAATTCTTTTGCAAATCCGTGAAATATTTAGGCCACATAGTCAGTGAGGCTGGAATAAAAACCGATCCAGAAAAAGTATCCTGTGTTAAGCAATGGCCCCGACCAACCAATGCAAAGGAACTAAGAAGTTTCCTTGGACTCACGGGTTACTATAGACGGTTTGTCGAAGGCTACTCGAGGATTGCTAATCCTCTTCATGCCCTATCCAGTGGCTATGGGTATGCGCCAAAACGAGGTAGAACACCTAAACAAAACCGTCGGAAAGTGGATTTAAAAAGAGCATCGGATCCTTTTGCTGATTCATGGACAGATGAGTGTGAGAAAGCATTCCAAACTTTGAAAAACATGCTATCCTCTGCACCCGTTTTAGCTTATGCGGACATCACACAACCATTTACACTTCACATAGATGCAAGTCGGGATGGACTTGGAGCAGTCCTCTGTCAAGAAAAGCTAGGAAAGTTAAAGCCAGTCGCCTATGCGAGCAGAAGCTTGATCCAAAGTGAAAGGAATTACCCTGCACACAAACTAGAGTTTTTAGCTTTAAAATGGGCTATCACTGACCGCTTTAAAGACTACCTGTACCATGCTAAAGGAACAACAGTTCTAACTGATAATAATCCACTGACTTACGTCCTGACAAGTGCCAAGTTAGACGCTACTGGTCATAGATGGCTTGCTGCATTGTCCAACTTTGACTTTACAATAAAATATAAACCTGGACGCACCAATCAAGACGCGGATGCTTTGTCAAGAAGACCAAAATCTGACGACTATGATTTAAAAGACCTCACCGATCAACAGTGCATTAAGGGTCAGTTAGAGGACAGACTTCAAGTTTGTTCAAAAGATGTCATGGAAGCAATTTATGCCCGTCACATTGTTACTGTAAACACAACTTGCAAAAAGAACAACAATCAAGATTTTACACCTTACGCATATTGCTTGGGTATAAACCAAGATGGTATACCAAATGAGTTTACTTCGACTATCAACCAACTTCCTATCAACTGGAAGGAGGAACAGATGAAAGACCCGATCCTTTTGACGGTACGGAACGGAGTATCCTCTGGGAGGAAGCCCGTCCCAACCATGAATGACGGTAAAGAACTGCGACAAATATTACGAGAATTCCATAGATTTAAAATTCATGATGGCGTATTATATAGGACCGTGGTACGACCTGACAATACACATGTGAAACAGCTTGTACTACCTGCTGATTATAGACAGAAGTCCATTGAAATGCTACACAACGACTTAGGACATCTTGGGGTCGAGCGAACGATAGCATTAGCAAGAGAACGTTTCTATTGGCCGAAGATGGCAGCCGACATTGAAGCTTGGGTCAGACACTGTGTTAGGTGTTTGGCAAGGAAAGCCCTTCCTCAGAAGTCAGCTCCTCTCCACAACATCAAGACCAATGGACCATTGGAACTCGTGTGCATGGATTTCCTATCATTAGAGCCGGACTCCAGTTGTAAGAAATCTATCTTAGTTATTACAGATCACTTCACTCGCTACGCACAAGCGTTCCCCACACGCGACCAGACTGCTGGAACAGTTGCTAAGGTACTCTGGGAGCAGTATTTTAAACACTATGGACTTCCAAAACGTCTACACTCAGATCAAGGACCTGAATTCGAGAGTAAAGTTATTCACCAGCTTACAACAATGCTCGGATTACAGAAATCCCACACTACACCGTACCATCCACAAGGTGATCCCCAACCAGAACGTTTCAATAGAGCACTGCTAAACATGCTGGGAACCTTGGAGACAGAGAAAAAAGTCAACTGGAGCAAACACATAGGAGCTCTAGTGCATGCCTATAACTGCACCAAGAACTACAGCACGGGATTTTCGCCGTACTATCTGATGTTTGGCAGAGAGGCAAGGCTACCCATCGATGTTTGTTTCGGTATTAACCCTGATGGTCAGTCTAATACCAACCATGTCCAGTATGTAAAGGGACTTCGTCAAGACTTACAGAAAGCATACGAAGTGGCGAGAGTGGAAGCCCAGAAGCATGCTGCTGCCAACAAACATCGTTACGACAACAAAATTCGCATAACATCATCTGAATTGAAAGCTGGAGACAGGGTGATGATCAGAAATTAGGATTAAAAGGAAAAAACAAGTTAGCAGACAGATGGAACTCACAACCGTATGTAGTAATCGAAAAATTACCTAATCTGCCAGTGTACAGACTGTCACAAGAAAAGGGTGATAAGATTGTAAAGACACTACACAGAGATCATCTACTGCCAATTGGATACTTAACTGTGGTTGAGCCAACTCCGTCTACGAAACCTAAAAATGTTGCTAAGAGAACCAGATCTCATCCCAAACCACCATGTAGCATTTCTTCCTCTTATAGTGAAGAAAGTGACAGTGAGAGTGATAGCGATGACGATTTAGTTGTACAGGTACCTGTGGTGACTAGGCATCATGAACCTGTATGTGACCAAGAAAGTGACACCTCTGATGCAATCGTGTGCCAGGCCCCGGTAGACAACCTTGCTATCGGTCCACAACACGATATTTCTAAAACATCTTATGATCCAATCCAACCTGATGTCTCTGATCCTACTCCAAGTACACCGACAATACCTGACTATAGTGACCAAGCCTTACCAACCTCACCCGTTCAACCGACTACCCCTTCTAGCATAATATTTAGGTCACACCTAAATGTTGATTCTCCTCCATTCACTCCTCGATCACTAATCCGGCTTTTGACAGACCAGGGAGAACCTCCTGAGGAGATCAAAAATATTGAAGTTGTGAGCAGCACGCCTCTAACCGAATGTATTGCTGATAATCCAGAAAATATTACACCCGGATTTGTCTCATGTGTAGAGAGCACGCATGGGCCAATGCGAGATACAGATATTGTATCTGGTATTGGAGATGGAATGTGTAATAAAGATGGTGTCGCCCATGGAAATGGTGTTGATGATGACGGTGTTGTCCCACTTAATTTAGGACATGTCACCCCAGAAACCTCAGTGGATGCCATAGAAGAAGCTCCTGTAACTTCATCATGTGCCGATAACGCACACGATGAACCAACAGCAAATGAGGTAACTGTAGATGGTATTGCCGATACAAACTGCAATGCTCCAATTTCCGAAGATAACATTCTAACCCGACAAACATTAGAAACTTTGCAGCCGATCACCATTCAACCAGAACCAACTTCGTTGATGACTTACTCATGTTATCAACGTCGACTGATGAACCTTCGACCACTGAAGCTCTGACAAGTGATAATCAAATCGATGAAGACCCTGAAGATGACGATTTGAGAGGAGAGACGACATCCACCCGTCCAAATAGACAGCGCAGACCACCAGCCAGGTTACAGTATGACAACCTAGGCAACCCATCTTTTTACGTTTTTGTTACTAACATTGGGAAAGCAATTGCCGCATTGGGGACAATGCATAATTAGAGAGGGGAGGGTGTAACCCCAATGAATACGGGAACCAGTATACATA